TCTGACTCCCAGTGATCCCTCCTTGGGTTTCCGAGGTGGTATCACTACGGAAGTAAATTGCCCAACCTTCCTTCCAAGGAGCGGCTGGTGGGTGTGAGCTGCCAGCCTTCTGGTGAGCAGTCACGTGCCTTAGGCACTACGCCACCAGAGTGCCTGAAACAAGGATGGAGAGACACAAAGAGTTGACTGCTTCCCCAGTACCATGGAGTCAAGAGAAAGCTATGGGTGATAACAGGACAATGAATTACCATGGGCTCCTCTGTGACCTTCTCGAATTGTATGAGCCGCACTTTCCGCACCTCCTGGCCCCTGGCTGGGCTACTCAGGGCCGCAGACCCATTGGTGTACATGTCCTCGGTCACAGCATTTAACTGATGCGACACAGCCTGTCAGATCAAAACAACAGAGCAGTTTATGAACTCCAAAGGAAAGGCTTAGTGTTGGTACCTTACCTGCAATGCTGAAACCCACAGAGCTCCGCACACCAATGGGCACTGCACGCATTTGGCTTTTGTTCTGGGTTTATTTTTTTACTATTAAAATCATTTACTTTTGTTGCTGTTGTTGAGAATATACACAGCATATACACAGCAGAACACACATCGAGTCCAGCTTCTCCATGTGCCAGTCAGTGACACTGATGGCACCCTTCCCCTCCTTTTCTGAGTTGTCCTTTCCTCGTCAGCAGAAACTGCCAGCCCCCTGAGCTTCTGCTCTGATCTTTCAACTTGCCATTGTCCATGTGATTGCACAGTACTGAAGGCAGACCTTTGTCATGAGTTGCTAAACGACTGTTTGACTTGAAGAAGACTTTTGGGGATACTTCTGGTTTAAGAGACTATGGCCCCAAGTCATCGTTCTGGTCCTGAACTGAACTCACTCCAGTGGCTTAACTTCCAGCCAAAAACAGGCCCAAACCCAAAATAACCAAACTCACTGCCATGGAGTCGAATCTGACTCACGGCGACCCCCCCTCCTTGGGTTTCCGAGGCAATATCACTACGGAAGTA